TACTCTGCTATTTGCTTCTTTTGAATTCTCAACTTTAGTTTTTTACACAAAGCCTTATATATTGTCATTATTCGTTGGACCCTGAAAACCACGAACCCAGCCCTAAACACAGCATATAAGTGTTTGTGCACATGTTTGTGTGACAATTTGAGACTAAAGAGCCCTTTTCATTTAACAGAAGTGACTTCCACCAGAAAAGTGACTGTTTTTGGAGACATGTCATGGAGTTTTGATAATAGGTTCAGTTGTCACTGGCAGTTTGACTTCATACTTGAGCTCCTCCCTGTGACAGAGATACCATTTGGGAAGCTGTGGCCAGGAAGCACATTGGGAAGCACCTGTAGTTTCATTGCCTCTGTGGTCCGGTATTGAACACAGAGCATCTGCCCCCTCCACTCACCCCCTGAAATCAGCTCCATCACCTCTACAAACTCCACCCAGTCCTCCATGTACCAGTGAGAATTCTCAAGAGGAAAGTGGAGGCTGTCCATACACGAGAGCTGATTCCATCCACAAACACCAGAAAACCCACCGTGGAACCAGGATCCTTGGAGAGCCAAGGACATGAAGAAGGATCCAAGGGTTGTTAAGTAACAGAGGTGTCCCAAACTAATCACTAAATCATCATTGCCATCATCACACATGTCCTGTATTCTCCACTGGGACAGAACAGCCAAACTCACAATCATCACAATCATAAATTCTTCTAATAGCCAAGGGAGCCCTGCACTGCCAAGTTCAAGGCTGAGGATCAATGCTGATAAAGTAAGCCCTCTTTATTCACATCCCGACTCTTTCATTCCCACTTAAGTCCCTTCCTTGAGACCACTCTGAATTCACAGATACAGCAGGCTGCCCTTCATCAATGTGCCCTCCATGAGAAGCCTATGTGTGCCTAGGAGCAGCCACTGAACCTTCCACGATGTCTCTCCCAAACAGAGTGTACAACAATCCACAGAGTCTACTACACACCAGGCAGAGAGAGCTGCACAAGGAGCCAGAGGCTTTTGCCACAAAACATGAATCATAAGCACAAGTTAACACTGGCACCCTGCAGTTCAGACTATTGCCCAAAGAACACATTTTCTGATAATTACAGAACTAAAATTGGATCCACTCTGCAACCCCTTCCTTCCTCCCAAGAAGGCCGAGGAGGTGGCTTAGCAACAATCAGCTGCTGAGACGCATCCCATTCTGGGCTGCTGGCTGGTTCCAAGACATTTATTGGAAGGTACAGTTCCCAGAAGGTAGCAATGCTACTGAGAACCACAGGGCCTTCACGCTACCCCTAACAATTGCTCATAGCTTGGGAATCTGAACGGAGACCATATGAAACACGAGCGAGAGGAGGGAGGGGCCCAGGCTGTACCACTTGTGTTTACAGCCCTATCTCCAGAACGTCAAATGGTACTTACCTAATATATGGGAGGATGCCACCAGCCAAAGCATCCTCTCAACCTGTATACCTATGGAAATGCCATAAAGGATTTTAGGAGAAATGAGGAGCAGGTCACTAACAATGACATTTGGCAGGTGTTAAGCACACGTGGACTACATGTATGTTTTATCTAATTTAATTCTCAGGATAATGCCATGAGGATGAATTCTTATTGTTTTCTCACCCTGAGGTCTGAGGATGCAGCTCAATGGTAGAGCATTTGCCTCTCTTGCCAGCGTTACCCTCTTGAAAAGAGCCATCCTGAGCCACACCCTACAGGTCACACAAAGGCAGGATTAGAAAGTGGATGTTTGCTGACTTGACTACTGTGGTAGTTTGAATAAGAATGCCCCCTCCCGCCCTCGCCCCCTTTACAGGGTCCTATGTTTGAAAGCTTAGACACCAGGAAGTGGTACTATTTGTAAAGATTAGGGGTGGTTTTGTTGGAGTAGATGTGGCCCTGTTGGAGGAAGTGTGTCACTGGGGTGGACTTTGGCTCTCTTCCTCTGCCTACAGATCAGGCTGCATCTCTCAACTACAGCTTTAGTATCTGGCTGCACGTTGCCATGCTCCCTGCCTTGATAATGATAAACTAAACCTTGAAACTGTAAGCAAGCATCCAGTGAAATGTTTTCTTTCATAAGAGTCGTCTTGGTCATGGTGTCTCTTTACAACAACAGAGCAGTGACTAAGACAACCACAGTTCCTAAAGAACCTGGAATTGGCTGGGAGCAGACATCGGGTGTGGAGCTAAATGCCAACTTCGGAGAGCATGACAATATGAACACGGAGGGAATGAGTGGGACCACAGAGTTAAAGTCTTCTGAGTCAAAAATGAGTATGACAAGGGGTTAGCAGTTATTTTAAAATACAGGCAAGCTGGGCATGGTGGCACATACCTGCAATCACAGCACTAGCAATATAAAGGCAGGAGGATGAGGAGCTCAAGGCCAGCCTTTGCTATATCATGAGTTCAAGACCAGCCTACATGAGACCCTGTCACGAAAAAGACAGATAAAATAAACAAACAAACAAATAAATAAATAAGTAAATGCCGTACTTAAGGGGTGAGGGCAAATATACTGTAGTATATTTGGTACTGTCCGGGCACCCCCAAAATGAAGACTAAGGCAGTGCTCTTAACAAGAAGGACAAAAATAGCCATTGTTTATTCACATGATAAACACAAAGCAAGCATCTTACAGTCTGTGTTTAACTCACTGTAACTGCATCTGATGATCAGCTCAACATCATAACCTTCCAGAGCTGCCCTTCCCATAGCAGAGACAGACCTCATGGGTAGTACACCTAAGCACATCCTTCAGAATAGCCTATAGAGTTACCACATTAAACTAAAGAACATGTGAGCCATAGCAAGTGCCAAATGGCCAGATGCAGAAGTCTCAACAACTCAAAATTATGCTCAAAAAGAAATCATGTTTAAAAAAAAAATCATGTTCAACTGACATCAATGAAAATGGTCTTGGGTACCCAGGGCAGCCAGACCCAGAGACAAAGAACAGATTGTAGTGTCTTAAACTGGAAGTCAGCCTTGTGGCAAGAGTCTAGAGCAGGAGGGAGACACCTGGAAGGAATAAAGGAATAAAGTGCCTACTTGACTGGTCTCTGCCTTGTTAGCTCTGCAGTGCTGGCCACTCTGCAGAGCCAGGGAGGTGTGAGGCTACAGGGAATGGTATCACACAGCTACTGTGCCTGAGGCCTTCAGCTCAGTGTCTGTGCCCTCTGATGTCTCTCCTGGTCTGTCTTCCCTCATGTTGTTCAGCACAGTGGACAGCAATTGTGTCTAACTAGCATCCGAAGCAGCAGCCAGAAAGGAAGGAGGAAGGGGAAAGGCACTTGAAATACAATAATAGTTCCTGATTAAAACATTGCTTTAACACAGCAAGTCTACTGCTTAGAGGGGCATATGCAAACCACATGCAAAATTGCATATGTCAAAGCTAATTCCTGTACAGTTTACTTCACATCCTCCCTCTGACCTTGGAAAATCCTAGGGCTTTAAGACTGTAGGCAGTGGGATCTTTACAGGGGCAATAGTCAGCCATTTCCTCCTGTGACTAGTCTGTGGTCAGGCAATATAAGGCAGATTAAGGCTAAGAGTCATGAGTATGGATGATCACCTGCCAGAGAGCACAGCGTGATATGCTCAGGATGAGAGGGCAGCAGCTTGGAGTCTGAGAAACAACAGTTTGATTTTTGTCTTGCTCTGGCCTATGGCATCATCTTAAAGAACAAACCAGAGATATGGAATTGATGACAGAAGTGTGCTAATGGTGTCTGTGATAGTATCTACAAAGTAATTTGCATATCTTGATGCAAATTATATGCTATTTTCTAAATTATCCGTTATTCCTTGGATCACTAATATCATTGAATGCATGTTCTTATCTGAGCATGCACCCCCGCTGAGACAAGTAAGATCTGGAATTCTGACACACAGGGTTTCTCAGAAACCATTAAAGGGGCAAGTAATTAGCTAGAGAAATGATTGGCTTCTAGATCAGACTCTCTCCAGTGAAATACAGAAGAGAACTTCAAAACTTCATAAAACTATCTGCTTTCTGACAGTGTTGTGGGGTGCTGGGTTTTGCAAAAGGCTGTATTTGGGCAGCAGATGGCTTCCCTGTAGCCTGTGGCCTCCACTCTGTACTGAGGTCAGTTTCCTATGGCCTGCACCCTCCACTCTGTACTGAGGTCAGTTTCCTGTGACCTGCACCCTCCACTCTGTACTGAGGTCAGTTTCCTGTGGCCTACACCCTCCACTCTGTACTGAGGTCAGTTTCCTGTGGCCTGCACCCTCCACTCTGTACTGAGGTCAGTTTCCTGTGGCCTGCACCCTCCACTCTGTACTGAGGTCAGTTTCCTGTGGCCTGCACCCTCCACTCTGTACTGAGGTCAGGGATAGTCACCCGCTCAAGGCTGCGCACCTTGCTTGTTTCACCCATGAGTCTGTTCTCCAAGCTTTGCTGACTCTGTTTCCTGATGGGAGAATAGAGTCTGAACAGACAGTGTCAAATGCCCACCGAGAGTGGCATGCACACCTTTGTGTTCCTAGAAGGAGCTTTAGGGCAGCTGTGGTCTGATCCCCACTTTAACAGCCCCTGCCCCCCCCCGCCCACCCGTTCCATCCCTCCAACATACCCGGCAATCCTGCCAAATGGCCAAACTGCAAGGTTGAGTGACAAGCTCAACCCTCAAGACACCCAGCATTTAGTTAAAACCTTCCTTCCACCAGGAGGTTTTATTAAAATCCTGAGCCCAGCACAGACAGGAACAGAGACTGGGAGGAGGCAGGAACTGTAATGCCAATCATCAACATACTGAAAAGAGAAACCCTACAACTCCAATCAGAGAGCCCTTGAACATACCCAATGTCTTGCTGACACTTGACTGAAAGCCACCTCCTGCAATTAGCTCCTCTTACCTCTGAAGGTTTCCAAAGAACCAAGGCCTGTTCTCACCTTGCCCTCCCTGCTGCCATTCACCTGATAACCCCTTCCTCTGTGACCCTTTCTCCGTCCACCTGGGGGACCCCTCTGACCTTTCTCAGAAGGAAGCAGATGCGCTCGATGTTCCTCAGCCGCTCCCTCTGGGGATGCACAGGAAAGAAAGGAAATAGGAGGTTAAGGGTGGTCTGGGAGTATGAGAAGCATATAAGCTACCCCAGCAGAGGAAGCAGAGCCCACCAGAGATCCAGCCTGGGCATGTGCCAGGAGCGCCCACTCAGTGGCTTTCCCAGTCTGAACGCCTCAAGTTTACCTCCTCTGGGCCACTTGCTTTTTGCTCTTGTATTATAGTTGTTGCTGTTGTTGTTGTTTCTTTAGAGAGAGGGTACTACTCTGTAGCACAGGCTAGCTGTGTATCCCAGGTTGTCATTGTGTATCCTAGGTTGGTCTCAAACTCATGACACCCCTCCTGTGTTAGCCTCTGCAAGGAGGTCTTACAGGCATGAACTACCATGCCTGGTAGACATTCACCCTTGAGAGAACTCCCCTAGCAGGCTGGGGAGATGACTCAGGGGGTAAAGTGTTTGCCATTGCAGGCAAGAGGACCTGAGACTAGATCCTAGAACTTATATAATGAGCCTGGAGTGCTGACATTTACCAGTAATATGAGTACTGGGGACAAAGAGGCAGGAGGATGCCTGGGGCTTGCTTACCAGCCAGTCTAGGCAAATCTAAGACTTCAGTGAAAGACCCTGCCTTTTATCATGATGATAGTGATTTTAATTATGTATATAAGTGTATGTCCAAGTATGGGTGTGCATACATGGATGCAGGTATGCACAGAGCCCAGCAGAGGGCAGATGCCCTGTAGCTAGAGTTACAACCTATGTGGGTGCTAGGAACCAAACCTGGGTCCTCTGTGAGAGCAGTACGATTGTAACCACTGAACCATCTTTCCAGTCATGCAAGAGAACCAGCCTTAAAAAAGAAAAAGAAACAAACAAAACATGTGCAGAACAGTTGACGAAAACACATGGCGTCAACCTCTGGTTGATGTGCACACGTGCGCGCACACATAAGCATGTACACACATAGTGCACCTATTTCTTTAAAAAAAAAACACTCCTGGCAAAGCACACACTCTCCTTCCCCATTGAGGATTCATCTTCCTATAGTCGACGTTTCCATGAACACACAGCAGGTGGCCTGGCTGCAGAGTGACCACCCTGTGCTCACTGGGTGTCTCAGGCCTGACACCTCCCCAGATCTTAAGGAGCAGCACGCTTGTCTCCTCAGTAATGGTTACTGTCTTGCTTTGCCTTTTCCATGTGGGTGTACTTGGAGAAAGCAAACCCTCTGTGGATTCAGCTCCCAATCGCGCCCTGGGCTAGAACTTTTCTAGAAGTCCATCTGTCTCCAAGGACTGGCACATTTCCAGGGGACGATGTTAGGAAGCCAGACAGAGGATGCTGCCCACGGCAGACATTAGATGCTTCTGCTTCCTCTCGCTGCTATAACTGTCAAGATTTCCAAGCCATGCTGAACACAGCTGTGGCATCTCTGGTGCTTCATTACTGAAGTGATTTGCTGTCGACTTAATGGTAATGAGTTTCCTTGTAGACCAGTGGGGGACAGGTGGCTGGGACACTTCAGTTTCTCTAATTGAATTATAAATATGGTGATCTCTGTGCAGCCCAGAAGCCCAGAGGAAGAAGCACCATCAGGATGAGTTAGTATCCACGGGCCAGGGAAGACAAGTCACACATGTGACAGAGTTCATGCAGATGCACATGCGACACACGACACCCGCACAGTCCAGCAAGCCAGAGCCTTTCAGGAAAACACAGTCCATCTCTGTGACAGAGACTACCCAGGGTGGGTGGAGGATAGAAAGGGAACCCTCCCACCCCTGGAAGAAGCCACCAAACATTCCATCAGTACTTGAAGTATTAGGGCATCTTAACTCTAAACGGAGCATGGGTTGGTGGTAGAGGGCTTCCCTGGCATGCACAAAGATCTCACTCCATAACTAAGAGAGAGAGAGAGAGAGAGAGAGAGAGAGAGAGAGAGAGAGAGAGAGAGAGAGAGAGAAAAGCAAAAAAAAAATTTCAAATGGGTCTCATGCCCTCCTTAAGAAATGCATTGCACAGTCAGGAAGTTCTTGGGACCCAAGTTCCTCTAGGGCCAGAATCGCCAACCAGTGAAGAAAGTTTGTAAGTCTCAGAACCTGGGATGTGGCTCTGGAGGCTTCGAGGACACCAGAGGATGAGAGACAGTTCAATGACGTAGATGAAGCATTTTATCCCCTGCTGGGAGCAACATCCTGAGAACAGGGAAAACCATACCATGTCTATATGTTCATCTAATTACAGCTTTTAGGATTTTCTGGTTTTGTTTTTAGTTCCTCTCCTCCAGGGGCACCTTGTGCTTTGGTCTGTCCATGAGATATCTGGGCTCCACAGGATTCAGCTCCTTAATTAACCCGATAAACTAATTAGAAATGTTGCTGTAATAGGAATTTACAAGTAAAAGAGAGAGAGAGGAGTGTGGAGCTGGCTGTAGTTCAGTACAGCATCTGTCTCAGGTGTATGCAAAGGCTTGGGCTCCACCCCAGCACCTCAGGAAGAGAAGTGAGGAGAGGCCTGCGCCCTCAGCCTTCTATCCATTTCTGTTTCCAGCAAGTAGTTCTGGATGCTGCCTAGTGAGTGCTGCTTCTACACCATCTTTTCCCAGAAGCACCGGCCCTTGCCCTCTAGAGGGGGGGTGGGGGTGGGGGAGGGGGTAAGCAAGTCCTAACCTGATGCTTAAATAAAGGACTTGTCATGATAAGCTAAAAGCAGACTCCACAAAAGCATTTCCAGGTGTCACCAGGTTCCTAAGACCTGGCATGGACTGGCATGTGGCATGGTGGAAACCGGCTGGATATATTTTAGTTCATTCTGCTCGAGAATCCTACCAAAAATCTCTAGACAAGCTGGAGGAGGGGGCTCAGGCTCCTGACCTCCTGGCATTCAGAAGTGAACATGCTTGGCTTCCAGCCACTCGCACCTATGGGTACTGATGAACAGCTGTGTGCTGTTAGTGTCAAACTCAGTGCCCAGAAAGAGCTGAGCCTCTAGGCAAAACCATTTAGGCCTGGCAAAGCCACATTATCACAGGTAGATGGTAAGGCTGATAGAGGAGAATAAAACGGGTTTTAAAAATTACAACTTTTATGAAAAACACTAAGCTTTCAAGTGCTTCTTAGGGATACTTTCAACTAACCCAGTTTAATCTTTATAACTGACTTTGAAATAGTTCGGCTCTACTTTATAGAATCAAAGGCTGCTGTGGCAAAGGGGGGGTTAGATATCATAAAGCTAGGTCTTTTCAAGAACTAGCTTGAGCTGGAAGTCAGGAGATGGGCTTTGGAGATGGGTAGAGCTGGGTTCTAGACCAGACATCCAGAAACTGAACCTAGAGCTCATCAACCAGGCTGTGCCAGATTCCCTGTTGTACAGCAAGCTGACCCCAAGCCTAAGGCACCAGAGATGAAAACCTACTAGATGATAAAGCTGTACCTGGCACTTCATCTATCCACCTACCCTCCATGAGAAACCCAACCACTGACCACCTCCTACAGAACAAGAGGTCCATACGTGGTACTTGCACATCCTACAGATATGCTGGCCAACACAGGACCTTTGTCCATGGTCATAGATAAAGAACCAAAGGTCACTGGCACCAGGGTTTGAGGACTCAGTACCATAGTGCAGCAGATCCCTCCACTGGGCTACAGGAACCACCATACTTGACTGGCAAGATACTGTAATAGCTCAGCTGACCTCAGCAAGAAGGCTCCGATATCAACTGTCAGCAAGGAATAGAGGCAGGATCTGGGCAGTATGTTCTGTGTTCTGCTCTTTAAAATCTCCACTGTCCTTCACAAGCTGGGTGACTTATGGGGAGATCACCTGCACACCCCCAGCACTGCTACTTACCGCATGAACAGGATTGCACTGGTCTATGGGACTCTTGAAATCCGTTCTTAACTCATCAAAGGCGATTATCTGAAACAGAACACACCCAGTCAGGATCCTGTGTACATGTAGTCAGTGCAACCACCGAAACCTTCCTGTAGTTCTGCCCCTAGACACTATAGGGGGAAAGGACAGGGAGAAGGCTGGCCACACAACACTGGCCAGGAGCCAGCCACTGTCAAAACTGGCAATGAGTACACGGGTTCATTGGCTCTGTCTATGATGTTTGTGTTGAAACTTCCAAGGTAACTTTTTTCTCTCTCCTTCCTTCCTTCCTTCCTTCCTTCCTTCCTTCCTTCCTTCCTTCCTTCCTTCCTTCCTTCCCTCCCTCCCTCCCTCCCTCCCTCTCTCTCTCTCTCTTTCTTTCTTTCTATCTTCCTTTCCTTCTTTTAATATTTTCTATTCCTTATGCAGTCTATTTGAAAACGTAAAGAAACCATCTGATGGACCCAAGTTTGGTAAAGGAATGAAAATGTAAAACCTCTAATCAATATTTTTATTTATATTTTGCAGAGATGGTGACTGTGGGGGTTGGGGGGAGAGAACGGGTAGCTGAGTTGTCACAACGAGAAACATCTCTGGATGGCCAAAGCCTAAGTCAGTGCCCCAGGCAGGCCATGCCTAGTAGAGCAGACTCTAGAGGCTCCTCTGGGTATGAACTCCAAGCTCCCTAGGGAGCTAGGGCTTCCCATTTGTCAGAGAAGGAGGATAGGAAGGAGAGCACCTGCAATTACAGGATGAGTTGTGTCCCACCCACTGAAGAAACTCAGTGAGGGTAAAGGCTCAGAAGCCCTCATCCTAATCCGGCCACCCCATCTGCTACAGCAGACTAAGTGGCGGGACACAGAGGGGTTTGACGCTGGGATCGTCTCTTTTTGGAGGGAAGCTTTGGGTATCCGTAGTAAAGTCTCTTCACAGCTATAGTTTGGATCTTGAGAGTTATCTGAAGGCCCGTGTGTACCCAGCCCCTGGCATTCTTAGTTTTGAGTTTGTTTGTTTGTTTGTTTGTTTGTGTTTGTTTGAGTGGGTGGGTGCTTTAGTTGGTTGGAGGTTTTTTGTTTGTTTGTTTGGGTTTTTGAGACGGGGTCCATGTATCCTTGGACTGGCTTTGAACTTACTATATACCTGAAGATGACCTTGAACTTCTGATTCTTCTGCCTCCATCTTCTAAATGCTGAGCTTTCTAGACATGTACTACCACAGTCCATTCACAGAGTAACTCAGAGCTCCATGCTAGGCAAGCACTCCCCCAGCTGAGCTCTATCCCAACCATTGCCATACTGGGTAGTAAAGACCTTAAAGAGCTGGGGCATAGTGGAGCTAGATCTTTTGGGTTTGATTAGGTTGTTTTGTTTTGTTTTCCTTCCTGATCACTTTGCAGTGAACGGGTGAACAGGCCTCCTCTGTCACATGGCTCTCTTCCATGATGCTCTTCTGACCACAGGCTAAAAATAACGAGGCCAAGAAATCATGGGCTGAAGCATTTGAGAACACCATGCGGTGACACAAACCTTTCCTCCTTATATGTTGTTCGCCTCAAGTGTTTTGTCACAATAAGGGAAGTATGACTACTGATCATAAACTAACATGTCCACAGATTTAGATGATGCACCAGCATAGCTTGTTCTAAGAGGACACTACCACACCACCTTTGATGGACAGTTGGTCATCTAGCCAGGACAATCATGCACCAGCATAGCTTGTTCTAAGAGGACACTACCACACCACCTTTGATGGACAGTTGGTCATCTAGCCAGGACAATCATTTTGCTGCTGGTTCTCTCAAGCTGAGCATCATCTTCAGTGAACTGACGTCTGTCTCTCCCTAAAGCACCCACCCACAGTCAAGGTCAGTGCAGTGAACTATGGCTGCAGGCCAGGCCAGCCTGCCACCTACTCTTTTATAACCCGTGGGCTTAGAGCAAATCTCATATTTTTTAAAGAGTTGAAAAATATCCAAAGGAAAATAATGTTTTTGCAACATGCAAAAAATGCTAACTTCAAATCTTGGTGTCCGTGGGTAGAGTTTCACTGGTTCCTGTTCACTCCTCTTTTTGTATACTGCTTCTGAAGACTCGGAGGCAGGAGTGAGACAAATACATCCACTAACATGTATTTTAGAGAAAATAGCTGATCTCTAGTCTATTCTTGTATTTGTCCTCTACAGGGTTGATATCCCATACAGCAACCACTGATCACATAAGGCTAATATTTCCGTTAAAATTGTACTGTTCAAAATTCAATCTGTAGTCATAGATTAACTGTTAAAAAAAAACAGAGGTCTAAGGAGACAGCTCAGGTGTAAAGTGTTCACCATACAAGCATGGGGGACCTAAATTTGACCCCCAGCACCCCTGTAACAGCTGGGAAACATGATAAAGCCAGAACTGAGAAGGTAAAACAGGAGGAAGCCCTGAGGCTTGCTAGCCAACAAGACTGTACAAATCTGTGGGCTCCCCGTTCAGTAAGGGCTCTTTCTCATAAAGTGAAATAGAGAGCAACTAAAAAAGATACCTGGTACATGCAGACACAGATATATCTACACATGTGATCATGTGCATCTACACACACATACAGAGAGAGAGAGAGAGAGAGAGAGAGAGAGAGAGAGAGAGACTTAAGTCTGTTATCTATTAAATAACTCACGTATAAAACTGTTCAATTCATGGAGAAATCTCTATAGGACAGTGCTGCAATAAAGACATATACAGTGGACCTGATCTCCTCCACAGGAAGCCCATTAGATATCATCACTATTGTGATCTCTGACCCTAGCACATCTCTATTCCCTAAGCTGAATCTCTCCAATCATTGTTTGCACAAACCAGTGCTGGGTCACCTGGTCATCCTAGTTATCATTTACTGGTACAGCTGACTGGATGTGTCCACCCTAAAACACGTCAGTCAGAACTGAATGCTATCCAAGATAAGGCTGGTTAGCACAGAGCAAGAGCATCATTACCATCTCTGCTCCCCAAGCCTCTGAGAACGCATCTTGGCTGTGTCAATTCTGGATCTTTTCCATGGGCTCCAGTCAAACTCAGTCCCCCTCATTCTACATGAGTCTTGTCGGCTTTGGGAACCTGAGAGCTTGCAGTGACTTTGTCCCTATTCATTCTTTCTTAATTGGCCAGTTAATCATCCAGTCTTCTGAGACATAACCTGTCTGCCACCTGTGTATCTGATAAATGTAACGTCCTCAGCATCTACATCAGTATCCCTCTCTATAGACTCAAAGCAGGACCGTGGACATGATCATCTCCAAACCCTATGAGTGTGAGAGGCACAGGATGCTGCTGTGATTCAAGGGGCTAGACAAATGGCTATAGTCAGTTAAGCACACTTGAGCCTATGTGTGCCCCAGTACTCCACTGAACCATATAGCCCAATACCAAACAGTACTAGATAAACTTGAACTCCTGACCTGACGATAAGGTCACACCAAACCTCACATTCATTTTTTTAATTTTAATATTGTAAACTTTACTCTTTTAGTGAAAAATCCTTAAATTCCAACAAACACATAGTCCTGCCAACATGCTGTGCTGGTAATAAATGGTTTCTATTGCTTCCCCATCCCCACCTCTTGACTCTGCGTTAGTTTTTCTCCCATCCCTAACCTTGCTTTCCTGCCTGGCATTCACTGATGTCTTCCTCGTCCCTAAAATTTTACCTTTGTCCAAACATCACAGAAATGGAACCATAAAGCACATGGGATCTCCAGACTGCTTCCTTCCACATGACAATGTGTTGAAGATTAGTCACAGTGTTGCTCATATCAGTATCAGTAACATGTTCCTTTTTGCTGCTGAGCTGTACTCAGTTCTAAAGAGACACTGAAGTTCATCTCTCCAGTTCACCTGTGGGAGGATGCTTGGGTTGCTCCTAGATTTTGACAACTGTAACTATAGTCGGTGTGAACATTTGTGTTAGAGGCGTCTATCTTCCCTGAGTGATGAGGAGAGACTTGATAAAGTGTATGTCCAGGTTTGTAAGAAACTGGTAAACTTTTTCAAAGGACCTGTAACATTGTAGCAACACCACATGAGAATTCCAGGCATGCCATATCTAAGTCAAAAGTTATTATGTTTGTCTTTGCTTAGCCATTTCAATAGGTATGAATAGGATGAAGCTACTGGAGTTTCAATTTGCATTTCTCCAGTGAGTAATGACACTGGGAATCTTTTCATGGGCTTAGTGGCCATCTGTGTATGTTCTTTGATGAAGTGTGTATTTAAATCATTTTCCCCTTTTGTAAAAAATAAAATAAGAATCAGTTGTCATATTGATGGTTTCTTTACAGTGCTAGGGTTGAGCCCAGGGGCTCATGCATGCTAAGCAAAAAATCTATTACTAAGATCCATCTCTAGCCCATTTTTTCCTTTCCTTTTTAAAAAATTTAAGACAGGATTTTGCCATGCTGCCCAGGCTGACCTTAAATGATCAGAGCAAAAGCTTGTATTGTGACACTTGGCAAATATTCTTTTATGTACCCCATTTTTGCTCCTGGTCCCAAGAACTCTCATGGATCTAAAAGCCCTCGAGGACACAGAGACTTTCTTCATCTATGTATATATTTTTTCTAAACCTGAACTTTTCTCTGTGGGGAAATTTGCATCTCAAGTTTAATTTCAAAAATAGATTTAGTATTACTCTGCTGTCTCGCTCCTATTACATGAGTTCTGTGTGCTTACTGCTTCAAGGAACTGTCCTGTTTCATCCAAGTTGTTAAATCCAGTCTGTTCAAGCCAACTTGGATTGTGACTACCCAGCCGCCACCCACCCCCACTTTTTTTCCCTCACCATACATATGAGTGAGTACAAGAAAAGGCAAAAAGGGCAGCAGCAGAAAAGTAGGAAGAGAGACAAGAAATGAGTGCCCAAGATCCAAGATGGCCTAGGTATATAGGACCCTCTGAGACTGGACCCTGCAGTGTGGCTCTGGGGTAGGAAAACAGAGGCCTCTCGGGAGCTACTGATGAGGGAAGGAAAGAGGCATAGATGTTGGGACCTGGTACAGCTCTTTGCTG